GCACACGGTAAAGGTTGCATCCAATCCATATCTGTTTTGCAAAATGGGATATATGCACAGATTTGCAAAGCATATTTCTCCTTCAGAGACTCTACTTCCTGTTCATTAAAGAATTGTGGGAAATTAATGTATTAATCATTTCAACATGTTCGAGTTATTACATCTAGCCGGGAATGGAGCTCGAGACACGAATTACGCATGTCAAAGTGATGGTCAAGGTCGACGCTGGTTAGTGTTTAGTTTTCATGTGCTCTCAGAACGCACTGCAGCTCTTGGAGATATGTGGGTAACACTTGAAATGGATTTTATTTCATTCATTTTACTTAGAAGGCAAGTTTTATTTGTCGATATATAATTTTTATTGGCCTGCTGCACTTGCCTTCTAAAATCAGAAGAAAATTGTTTAACTTACTGGCTCCTTTGTAAAGAATTTGCAACCAACCTTATTTATGGTTATATGTTTAAAGCAGACATTAGTTATTTTTCGTACCTGTTCTTTATAGCGGGCTATTTTGAGATAGTGGGATTAACTTGTTATATATTTGATCATTGTTTTACACTCTGATTATTTTTGATGTGGGAGGTTGTGGGTTCTACCCCCAGCCGAATCATACCAAAGACCTAATGGTACTAACAGCTGCCTCGCTTGGAGCTCAGCATTAAGAGATTGTGTTAGTACTTGTCGGCCTGGTGTCAGGATAATGTGACTGGGTGAGATATCACGTTATATGTCTGCGGAATGATGTTCCAGTGCTTAACATCACTATAAACTGCCACACTGTAGATATAACTAAAAACTTGGTAAAGCTACGTCAAAATTTTAAACTTATATCCTACCTGTGCTTGCTTTTATTTTTATTGTTTTGGGGCCATTTTTTCCTCGCACGATAGCTATACATGGCGGCTGGTGTAACTGAAGGAGGAAGCTACTGGCAAGATTTCTAACACACCTGCTTTGGCCAAACTCAAAACTCAATCAACACAGGAGAAGGTGAGATGGCATTGTCCGATAAGGGCGAGTACTTTAGACTAATCGGCCATCCGGGGCTTATGGGATAGTTTGCAAAGACATCAGTATCTCATTATACATTGTTTACCTAACGCAAAGAAGAAAAAAATCAGAAAAGGAAGATTAAAAATACGGTTGAGTATTTTTTCTCCCTGGAAAAATTGTTCCAGTGCAGATCTAATCCATCGGAAAACTATAGCCGTAAAAGAGATACATTTTACTCAAAAACGCCTTTCTTTACGTAAAAATTCTCAGCAATGATCACACTCTTCCGCTAACGTCGCATCAGATGGCTGTGTTACGTACGTCGGATGGATGACGGACGGATCCCCAAAGATCTCTACTCTCAGCTTGCCTCTGGCAGAAGATCAATCAGACGGCCAGATCTCCGCTTCAAGGATGTCTGCAAGCACGACATGAAAGCCTTGGAATTGATGTCAACACCTGGGAAGAGCTTGCCCTAGCCATGTTCAACTGGAGACATGCCTAAACAGGTCTGAAAGCCAGCGAGGAAAAATTACGGCTGCTCGCTGATGAGAAAAGATCTCAGATAAAGAGGACGCAGCTCCAACGCAGACCTGACTCAACCTTCAAGTTCAGCAACTGCAGCAAGAATTGCCACTCCCGTGTGGGGCTCCATAGCCACAGTAGACGCTGCACAACTACCAACTGGGACACCTCTCGTGGGCGTATATCCATCGCCTCTCGAGACTAACGGATGCCAACAAAATTGCTTTAAGCCGTTTATATGAGGGTAAAATCTACTCTGGCGAAAGATGTCTCTGCAAAAAAGGATTGATACGTGAATCAACTCTTGCACTGAATTGTATCATCTATAACACTGACGGACTGTTATGTTTTTTAAATTTATATTGTGCATCTGACTTTTATCTTGTCCGATATTGAGCGTTGTCAAAATGGAGTTTTAGCCTGCCTGATCTAGTGTAATATTCTAAGAAGTAAACTAGATGATTACTTGAATTTGAGTTCTAGACCTCACCTTGTTTACAAGTTAGTGGGATTTTCGGTAGAAAATAATAATGTGCCGCAGTGAAATATGTAAGAACATCTATCCATTTCTGTTTCATAGTAGACTTTAGCAGTCTACGAACAGAGTTTATAGTTTTCCTCAGATATAGTTTGAAAGGAATTATTGATTTAAATTGTTCATTGGAATTACAAAGTGCTAACTGACTTTTCGGACTAAAACACTATTTTGTGATTATTGAGAACTCCTTCAAAGACATTCTGGTTTAAATCATTGTGGTACGTCAACACATTCGAGACTCTTGGTACATCAGGACGTTCAAGATTATTGGAATTCATCCAGAACGAACTTTACTTTTGGATTTGCGATATAACATTTATGATTATTTGGGATTTAATCCACAATACTCAACGTGTCTTTTGAAGTTTTGCTTTGTATTCTAGGGAAATAAATTATTTGTTGATTTAACTAAACTTGATCGTTTCTTTTTTTCTGTTTTATTTTTTTAAGATCATAGAGTCGTAACACTGACACATATACTGTTCCTGGCTATAGTAGATTGTTGTGACGTTAAGCAGTGGTGTACAAAGGGTAAATGGCGACACAAAGAACACACCCCATGCCCGTTGGTAAGCTACTGATGTTAAGCTATATTGAATTTTGTCTTACTCGTGAGGATACTTGTGGCCAATAATTCTGATTTTACTATTATACCCATACCCACCTCTGTTATAAGAAAAAGCCAGTCACTTCCAAGTATTCTGTTTAAATACTCGCTTGGCGTAGATACGTGAGGCTGAGATGTTGTAAAAATTACTTGTAGGCTAATGGATTAATTGAAAGGAATTAAAGGCATTTCTAGCAGTCGTAATAATTATACATCTACTAAATACCACGCTGACTTCCTTGAAGCTCCAACGATTATATTTTCACAATTCATTATTGCTTGTTCAACTGACGCTTCCACTTATGCCGAGTCATCAAATCTTGGATATACATTAAAAAAATTCAATTTGAAACTTTTTTGCGGCAAGACTTATATTAGAACAGAAAGACTCGGGATTTAATATTAATAAATGATTCTTTAAAATTGAAATCATCTTTAAATATACACAGCCACTTCACAGAAAGGTCTGTTTCTTTCCAGATCGATTGGTATTTGACAAATACGCATTAAGATATATTCTGCTGGAAATGACCTAAGTAAATGCGTCTCACTGATTGTAATAATACCCTACCTGTTCTGTGCTTATGTGGTTAGTTTCGTGGTCAATAATTTGTTTGCTAATGCAGCAAACTAAAAGAATTAGTACAAAATCAGGGTGTAGAGCCGGATTAGTTTCAGTGTAATCAGCAAGTAACAGCAGCAAGCTGAGATTAGGTGAAATTTGTCATATTGATGTCAGGGGTAAGTAGTAGTAGGGCGCGCGTGTGTTTGTGTGTGTGTGTGTGTGTGTGTGTGTGTGTGTCTAGACTTGCCCAAGTACAATCATTTAAAGTATATTAATTTTTATTTAGTATCACGTAGATTTAACTTGTGCCTACTAATGACCAGTACTTCACCACAAAATAATTACCACCACCCTCTTTAATCCTCTGGATAATTCAACTCGCGTTTTCATCATCAGCGTTCAACGTATGCATGTCCAGTTGCATTCAATGAAACAAACTATCGTCTACTGCTTTCACGCTTACTGCATTAATCTTTACGTAAGGTGCCTGTGTGAGCTGCATGCTATTTAAAAATAAAACCTCTTTGAGATCACACTTTACGTGGGGATCATCATCTGTCGATATACATTTATTAAATCAAGTCATTGTCCATTTTTAATAAAATACCTGTGATTGGTCATCCTTTTATGCATCTTAGTGGGCTTTACTGACCATCCATTCCATCTTTTTAATTCCTCGTGGTTAGCTGATATCATTTCAACTCTCTTAACAGGCACATGTGGTTAAGAAATATTGCATTCTCATTGGTGCACAATTATTACACAAATAATGATATGTTATAATTAAAAGTTACATCTTGGATACAATTTAAATGATAATAATTCACGATTTCTATATTTTAAATTTCTTGTAAGAGTTGCAATATGAAGCTCTGTTATGCCTAATTATTCTTAGTCAAGGAAAAATTCTACTCTTGTCTTATCAAACGATATGAAGAATTACATAAAATGTGTTCAGGAGAGTAACACTTATTATCCCATTGTACTTGGATTTCACGATTTCTTGGGGACCTGAACAATCCAATACTGTTTATGAAAGAAATTAATAATTTGTCTGCCTTAATTTTATGTGCTGTATTGTGCTATATTTTTATTTGTACAAATGCTAGGAAACAACAGAACGTTAAAAATTAGAATCCGCACATAACAGTTTACAATCGATTATGTTTTAAAAAGGAAGTGTGTGTGTGTATGTGTGTGTGTGTATGCGTGAGTGTGTGTTGGACTTTTTACGAAGCTTTAACAATTTTTTAGTAATATCGTTACGATGTCTGCAGTGTGGCAGTTTATATTGCACTGGGGCATCATGTCGCAGACATGTGGTATCATGTCCCTCCCAATTAAATTATCCTGACACCAGGCTGACCAGTCCTAACACTTACCTCTTAATGCTGAGCGCCAAGTAAGTCAGCTGTTAGTACCATTTTTGTAAGTCTTTGGTATGACTCGACCGGGGATTAGAACCACTAGGCCACCGGAGGTGTTGTACATTTTGATTTAGTCCTAAAACTAACCACTTAATGCTGATGGAATGATATAATCTGTTTCCTTGAACAGAGTAAAGAGGAAAATGCACGGTGAATACATTTTTTCTCTCTGAAAATTCAGCAAAGCTATATGCATTGATAGCTAATTATTTTATGTAAAAGAGAAAAGTAAAAATATAAAAGAAACAATTAGTCATTTGGCACTTTTTTGATAAAGTCAGTTGCTGAAAAATGTAGTTTTTATCTCCATATTTTAGGTGGAAAAGATTTTCTATTGAAAGACCGCTCCGATGACCTAGTGGTTAGAGCGTCCGCCTCGAATGTGGGAGCTCTTGCGTTCGATCCCCGGCCGAAACATACCAAAGACTTATAAGAAAGGTACTAACAGCTGCATCGCTAGGCGCTCGGAATCAAAAAGTTAGTGTCAAAGCTACTTTAAAAATCCAAATCATACACACACACACACATTACTCTTCTATTGAAAGTAGTCTTTGTTGTCCTTTTGTGTTACTCAGAGCTATGATAACTAATAAGGTGAGGTTTGTGGTCTCGCAAATTGTAAGTTTTAGTCCTGAAGCTATTCAAATATTTGTACTTCTCGACAATTTAAATATCGTTTGATATTAGTAAAAAAAAAATTAGTATATGACAATATTTTTTTATTTCAAAATGTTAAAGGAAATGTTAAGGTACTTTTTATCTATATGCTTTTAAGATTGGAACTGGTTATTATTATTATTATTATTATTATTATTATTATTATTATTATTATTATTATTATATATATATATATATATATATATATATATATATATATATATATATATATATATATATATATATATATATATATATATATATATATATATATATATATATATATGTGTGTGTGTGTGTGTGTGTGTGTACTAAAATAAGCATAAAAATCGTACACTAGATATGGGCAAAGTGAGGAAATTGAATGATTGTTATAATTGGTTTGAAAAATCTCTGGAAGACTTTAACTAGCCAAAAGTCATTCAGATGACGAAGTCACTGATATGTTACATTGACTGAGAAAAATGGATACAGCAAAATGAAGGAGTCACGGCTGTATTTATACGCGAGCATAACAATTCTAAAAACATTGTTTTGTTAGTGAATATTTCCAATATATATTTTAGAACCTCTTTTGTATATTCGTATGTTTCACTAGAATACTCATCAATTCACAATGAGGGAAATTCATCTGCAACTATTGAACATGAAACATGAATAATGAAATTAAAAGAAAAGTACACAGATCATAAATTTATACCTGCTGGCGATTTTAATGCATGTTACAAGTACGGAACCTGGTTTCCTTAGGTATGATAACACTACTGACACACTTCTGGGTTGTAAGTATGCATCAGATACGGAACTTGATGATTTTTGCAAACCGAGATTAACAATTATGGAGAATAACTTTTTAACGTGTGCAGAATTACTGGACTTAAAATTTGAAAGTCTGATATGAGTTATGCATGATTTATGTATGATTTGGCTTTTAACGTAGCAGACATATTTTCAGTCATATCGCTACGATGTCTGCAGTGTTGCAGTTTATGGTGATCCCTAACATTGGGGCATCATGCCGAAGCATGTAGCATGATGTTCCATCCAGTCACATTATCCTGACACCAGGCCTACCACTCCTAACACTAACCTCTTTATAAAGGCATCGGAAAATACAAATGATCTAGGATAATTCAAGCTCATTTAAATACATATCTCCCTTCGATGCTGATTATATAATCCAATGAATACAATTTTTTTGTAATGCTGATGACAGAATCGATTTAATACAAATGTCTCTACTGAATATTCCGGCACCCATCACCTTGCCTGCACACACCAGTCCATACACACCGTCACGACTAAGCACGCATCACCAAAAAATGATGGCACTGAAACGGTGTTATATGAACTCGTGTGTAGCAGACACACTCGCTTGACGACATAGTGATTAATTCTCATATATATGCAAATTCGATCCCAATTCCATCAAAGAAATCAAGGTATATATGACTTTTATTACAAAGAATTATAAATATATACCAAGTCTCTTCTGTTTGGAATATATTTAGAATTCTTTATACATATATATATATATATATATATATATATATATATATATATATATATATATATATATATATATATATATATATATATATATAACAAAAGTACAAGAGTAGCATAGTGAGGCGTTAAGGCCCTCATCATGCCAAAGAAGGAATGTCAGCCTGTGGTAATATGGCCCCACGATTTTTAGACCCAAAAAATCAGTCTGGAGTAATATGGGCCCAAATGAAAATTTTTTTTTATAGCGACAAGTACAACCTGGGCCTATATAGCAACAAGAGGAATGTAACAACTTATACCACCAACCCTCCTCTCCATCAAAAGAATTGTAATCTTAAGCACAAAAGGTTTGCGGGAAAATCAGGAGAAGCCTTATCCTGCGGTTTAAAGTCTACTGTAACATCACAGTACTGGACATTTATAACAATGTAGCAAAGGACTGACATAAATAAATAAACATCTACTACTCTATGTAGGGACACTTATAATAGAGAGATAGAGACATAAATAAACACAGGGATAGAACACACACACACACACACACACACACACACATATATATATATATATATATATATATATATATATATATATATATATATATATATATATATATATATATATATGGTAAAATTGAAAATGAAAATCTTTTCGAGGCATAGGTGCATAGGTAGTGGCCCTGAAAAGGGTCTTTGGGTTCTTCCTCCTTTATCTTTTCCCCTTTTTCCACCAGCTCCTGACGTTTTGTATGATTCCTTTGTTCTTTATCTTTTCTTCGTCTGGCATCCAGTCTAGATGTCCCAGAGCTCTAAACCTTGCTTGTACTTTCATACAATTCTTATTTAATTTTTCAAAGTCTTCTTTCTTCGTGTTTTTTCTTTCTCCTTTCTTTCTTATGTCCATATTTCCTTAATGTTCTGGACTTCTTCCTGCAGTAGAATTCCTTAAAAGTCTACAAACCAAAGCGACAGTAAAAATAGATGTCGCTTTGGCTTGTAGACTTTTAGGGAATTTTACACCGTTTTCAGTCTCCGCAACTAGTCTATACAAGCTGGTTGTATTTATATTTTTAACACATGTGGAGACAGCCATGTAGAGGTTTACAAACACAACGTTTTTGTGTTTATTTGTTTGTCGTATATGTTTTGTATTTGCCTTTGAAAAAGACTCATTAAGAGTCGAAAGCGCTTAGGCTAGTTAGTTACTAGTTTCGTACTGTTCGTCGTCAGTTTATTGCATCTATTTTAATAAATTCCTGACACATGTGATCTCTTGGTGGATCCAGTGCGCTTGAAAGGGTTGTTATTCGCCATATGATTTGTATTCTTTATATATATATATATATATATATATATATATATATATATATATATATATATATATATATATATATATATATATATATATATATATATATATATACAAACAATCGTTCCAGATTCCTATGAAAGAAATCAAGGTATATAGGATTTTTTTATTACAAAGAATTATAAATATATACCAGACAGAACAGACAGTGGACCTGGATTCGAAACTCCAATATATATGAGACACGCCTACCCAGTGAGTTCCTGGAAGATGACTTTTGTCCGTGTTGATGACATAAGCTTGATGGTCTTGAGGTTTGCGATGAAGGAGGTCATCTTTAGCACACTTGACTGGATTCCAAGCAGCAGTATACGAACAGTTGCTCAAAAGGTAATAAAGTTCCCGTGTATCAATGTGTTCTGGTTATTTTGTTTCTCTTGTGTTTTTACATCAAATGATAAGTCATCAATTCAATTCTGACTTTTTACTTGAAAAGTTCTGACAAGCAACCTTGTTTCCCAACTTTGGGCTAAAATAGCTTCAATATGACAGATTTCCGTGGAGGACAGGAATGATCACGTACGTCTTTTAACCACTCGTGCAACACTGCTTCTTCTGAGATGAGATTCCATGCGTCGTCTAGATACTCGTCAAAGTTTTCTTCTTGGTTCATCATCATACATTTATCGTGTGGAATTTGACTGGGATGATCTTTTTGACATCCATAGTAATCTTTCTTGACCTTTTCCGTAATTGTATTCGACAAGTGTTTAGCAAAACAAAACACTAAATGTTGTTCTTGTTTGGCCATCCGAACTCTTTGTTTTGGTCCGTGGATTTATTTTTGTTTCACGGTATCCTCCCATTCCATAGATTTTACACTCTTCAAAGAAGGACAAATATCTTCCAAAATGTCTAATAATCTAGAATGACTTCTCTCAAACTGTTGATTTTGATGGTATTATCGAATTCGGCATACATGGTGACGTTCACCGTCACAGCGAGAGCATCTGCAAAATGAAGTTCTACACGCAGTTGACCTGATTTTATAGGGTCGAAATGTATCGTCGCTGCCTTGATCAGGAGCGAAATCAAAGGCCAACAAAGTGTAACCTCCGATATAATCTACGTACGAAATACCGTGGCTGGTGTTGGTTCCTAGTTATCCAATTGCTTTCGATAGGGACAGGTACGATCTCAAGTAATACTTCTGCTCAGAGTTAAGTTCAAAGGGTCTGGTGCACAAAGTCTTGCCATCGCGACTAGCTTCGATCTTGGACACTCTGTAGTGCTGAAACTCAAAAGGATTTGCATTGACGGTTTCATTGAGGACTGCATTGTTGACTATACCAATGATTAAACGTTTGGGTAACTGTCATTGGAACAGATGATTTTTGATCTTGGATCGGAGTCCAGTAGCAATGGTGAATGTTTTCACTTCTACACGGTGCATCGGATACTTCGCGGTCGTTCTGCTCAAGGTGTGACTGATATCGTTTCCCGTTTTAGGTAGTACTTCTACGCGGCGTACATAAGTCTGGCTTCTTGGATGATGGTTTTGTATTCGTTAGCATATACGATTCAGTCTCAGGCGCATATCCTCTCCGTTTAGCAAATACTTGTTTTGCAACCACGTCTCCAAATGTAAGCGATTCATCAAGTCTAAACTATGGTTTTGCATAATTTTTCTTCGACGATCGTTAAAACCCACATTGTGAGGATCGTCATCTTCTCTTGGGCTTAGCCTCACCGTGGGTGTCAGGTTTTCAAACCATGCAAGTATCTAGATGAGTGTTTTTGGCCTCTTTTCTGTACGTCAAGATATTTTCTAGGTACGCTCGGTAAGGGTAAGTATCCATGCTACTGCTGACTAGTTTGTTACTCAAGTACAAATTTACTTCACTGAACATGGAATGCATAAAATTGTTGACTGGAACTACTCT